GTTCTGACTTTCAGTCGATTTGCATATTAGATTTTTATTTAGGATTGAGATTCTATGTTCCAAAGATTGAGTCTTTGGCCTGAGTATTCAGTGGGTAAAACACCAAAAGGGGCATTATTAATAATTTGGAGTGGCAGGCACATACCAGGACTGTCCTGGACAAACAGGGAAATTAGATCATTATTGTAGAAAATTTATACTACAATGAAGAAAGTTGTCCAAAAAAAATGACCCTAAAAGTTCAATCTAGATTGTCTAGACAACAAGCTGGGAAAAGAGAATTTCTTCCACTTCTCCCAACAAAAGGTGCTCACATAAGCTCAGTTCCCACAGAATTGGTGGCTTTCTCCTTCTAGCAGTGGGAACTATAACATCCAATGGGCTCCAAGGTCCCCAGGTGCTGGGCAGCTGGCCCTCCCAGAGAACTTTTATAATTGCTTCCCAAATCCAGATTTTTCAGAATGAAGCAGACTTTATTCTATTGACAAAGTTACCTTCACACTTTCTGTATAAGAAGTGAGAGCAAGAGGGAGGCCCCATTGGCATACGGAAATACACTAGTAACCCAGCAATAACCTGGTCCTCTGTAATCGCTGGAGGATGGGAAAGAGCCATGCTTTCATTTCTGTTGATGCAAGTTTTATCTTACTCCAGCAAAGCCTATTCCTTAAATCATGTGATGTAAAATTTATCTTGGATCTTGGTACGTGCAGGAGGATGTGCAGAGGAGATTATCAGCACACTAATAAAAGAGTAATATGCAAATTGACCATCACACCAAGACACAAGATGGCTGCCACCATGTGGTCAAAGATGGCAACCCCATATGGACATAAATGGTTGCCACAAGATGCCGCCACAAGATGGCCTGCAGGGGAGGGCAGTTGTGGGAAGTTAGGGGTGACCAGGCCAGCAGAGGAGGGCAGTTGGGGGTGACCAGGCCAACAAGGGAGGTCAGTTGGGGGGGGACTGAGGCCTGTAGGGGAGAGCAGTTGTGAGTGATTAGGCCTGCAGGGAACGACAGGGGTGACTGGGCTGGAACAGGAGGGCAGGCCTTCAGGGGAGAGCAGTTGGGGGGCACCAGGCCTGCAGTGGAGGACAGTTGGGGAGGGGGGAGGTGGACCCAGGCCTACAGGGAAAGGCAGTTGGAGACGACCAGGTCTGCAGGGGAGGGCAGTTGTGGGTGATCAGGCCAATAGGGAGGGCAATTAGGGGTGACTGGGTCAGCAGAGGAGGGCAGTTGGGGGAGACCAGGTCAGCAGGGGAGGGCAGTTGGGGGAGGACTGCAGGGGAGGGCAGTTAGGGGGGACCAGGCTAGTAGGGGAAGGCAGTTGTGGGGGGGGGGGGGAAGGGGGCAGGCCTGTAGGGGAGGGCAGTTGGGAGCCAGCAGTCCTGGATTGTGAGAGGGATGTCTGACTGCCCGAGGGATGTCCAACTGCCCGAGGAATCAGGCCTAAACGGGCGGTCGGACATTCCTCAAGTGGTCCTAGATTGGAGAGAGTGAGGCTGGGCTGAGGGACACTCTCCCCCCCCCCCCCCCCCCCCGTGCACAAATTTTACACACCAGGCCTCTAGTATAATATAATGTAAGGACTTTATATTTTCTTGTAAATGGACCGGGGAGCCATTGAAGTGTTTTAAGTAGTGGAGTGAAGCTTACTATGCAGGCTTATTACTTGCCATTGAGTACTCTCCAGTTAAGGGTTTTAGGGACCTGAAAGCTTGCACTCCATTTATCATTATTTTATATTTCTGATCTCTCTGCTGTGTCCATGTGACTGCTTATCAGATTAGCATTGTTAACAGGTCTCCAGGACTGGTCTTGATATCATTCTGAGTGTACTACTGACGTTTATCAGCACAATTGTTATGCAGATTAGTATCAGGAATGATGCAAAGACCTGGACCATATATGTCTAAGTCCCTGTGGAGAAAGTGCCAGGATAATGAAGGGGCAGAAGAAATTGGACTACATGCCTCATTAGTCTGCTGACCTGGGGTTTGAGGTCTATTCTCTCAGCTCACTCTTTTTAGGGTCAGCCAGTGGAAAAATCTCAACTACTGTCAGGAGGGCCCCTGTACTCTCTCTCTGCTTGGTGTGGTGGTATTGTGCCCTGGAGAACTGCTCTATCAGTTTAGGGTTCCTCTATACTCTGCCTACACTCTTGTAAATATGGGCATAACTCGGAGATGCTGCAGGTTTAGTTCAGACCATCTTAATAAAGCAAATAACAACAAAGCAGGACACACAGTTTTTGTTTGTTTGTTTCCCAGTGTATAAAAGTTATGCTTATACATACTGCAGTCTGTTGTGTGCAATAGGATTATGTCTAAAAATGTGCATCCCTTAATTAAACATACTCTATTGCTAAAAAAAATGCTAACCATCATCTGAGCTTGTTGGAAAAAAAAAATGGTGCTGATACACTCACTCAACACAGGATTGCTACAAAGTTTCAATTTGAAAAAAACAGTATATGTATGGCATAGTAAAGGAAAGCCCCAATAAAATGAGGTATACCCTTTTTAGAACTCATAGAATTATCTAGCTTGTGCCAATTGTTTCTTGTCATGGCCCTGACTGATCACTTGCTTTGATCTTTGACTCAAAAGAGCAGTTTAGAGTATAGCATGATCTCTCAGTCGTCTTTCCAGATGTTTGCAGCCTGCAGTCCAAGAGTCAAGGATCTGATACCATGGCTGTGGTATCAGATTGATCAACAAACTGCGTTTAAAGCTGCATGCTTTATAGAACTGGATTTGGAATGTTTATGTGATTATTTTGGTGGATCATGGTCAACCTCCATTTTGGAAACAGCCATTATTGATGCAATGACATTTAGTCATAGTATGATAATTTTAGTATTTTTGTTAAAAATTGGAATGGTATAATTGTGGGCTTATAATTCATATCAGCAGACCCTGATGGAATAATAGCAGTGGTAGTGATGGTATCCAACAAAGTCTTTGAACTCTGGTCACCAGCTAACATGGTGCCCATTGTCCTGGGCAAGAATCAAAAGACAAGGAAGGAAAATTATAGTTAACCCTGAGTTGCTAAAAATTGGCTTATAAAAAGTTACAAGTTCTACCATTGGAAGGGGAAAAGTAATGGGCTAGTAAAAATGTGTGATCAAACATGAAATAGTATTGGTTAATTCTAACACATGGATGGAGGGATCTTAGTGTATTTCTTCTCATGAGGGGATGTAAAAGGTATTATAATAACAAAAATCTGGATCTAGAACTGAGGCCATCGGTAAACCACAGATGGGTGGGTGGTAGGTTCGGGATAAGCCCTATAACTGTGGTCCTGTTACAGGACTCCCTGAGATACTGGGAGCTGGCCTCCTGATTCTGCAGCACACAGCTCTGGGAGCACTTGGCCAGGCTGTTAAGTTAGCCCGAGAAAGCTGAGAGGGATTAAAGAGTACTGTGCTTATGCCCAATTGGATTCTACAGTGTTCTGAAATCATATTGTACAACACGTGATGCCGGGATTGAGGAGGCTCACGTGGCTCAGGTGAGTGGCTCCTTGGCATTCATTCAGAAGAGCCTGTCTCATTCATTCAGACTTATCATCTGCTACTCTGTGAGGTCCTTTTGAGAGGACATGAAACCATAACCTGTCTTTCATTGGATAATGTTGTTTGAACTCTCTGTATCTTGAATTTTCTCTGTCCTCCAGATAAATACTATGTTTTCAAACAGTATTTATCACAACCCATTAGTAGGTTGTAAAATCAAGTTTGTGATCAGCAAGCAACATTGAAGGAAGTTGAATATGAGAAAGCCACATACATAGAACAGGGAAATGTGGTTTTGTGAAACCTTTGTGTTCCCAAACACACATATATATAGTATATATTACACACTTATATTTAGATTGTGACATATATGTTTTTTATATAGTGATGTACACTTGTATATATATCACATAAAATATTGTTAGTCATGGTCAACATTTGTAAGGCATTTCTATAAATAAGCCTTCTTTGCTTGACAAGTGCTATCTATGTGTGATCTCTGTCAGCTTAACTACTTACAAATATGGGGTGGGCAAAAGTAGATTTACAGTTATTCATATGGAAAAAGACATGCAGGTTATGATAATTACAGTAGTTTTACTAATTGAAAAGGATGTCACAATGGCACAGTGCTCAGAGGTACAATCCTATTAGTGCTCGAATTGCCAGCATTCATTATTCACACGTTCTCGTAGTCTTTGAAAATCAGTAAAGGAACTTGGATTTCAGTGACCTGCCTGGGTCACCCTACTGCCTCCTGAGGTGGTTGAACTCAGAACTCCTACACAGTGGTCATGTATTCTGAAAATTCGTATTTTGAATAGCTTATATGTTGTGCTCCATTATTGCTATCATGCAGGTCTTTGGGTGACTGATATATGTTATATTTCTGATAATATGGCTCACTTAGGAGGAACTTGGGGCCCCCAAGTAAGGCACACTACAAGAGGCACAGTAGTGGTAGTGGCTAAACTTTTTCTATTTAGAGACTTGGCCTTCCTCCAGGGGGACTCTGGGGAGCACTTGACAGTGCCTTATGGTGGAATTCTGTGATTTCCCCTTTCTGTCCCCTCCCTGTTGATCATTTGTGTGACTCTTCCAGTGACACCCACTTTTCTGTCCTGGGTGGCTCAAAGCCCTGCTTCCCTTTGAAATTGAATCCAAGTCTTCCATCTTCTTTGTGACTCACATCTCTCCTCTGTGTGACACTGGACACAACTCTATTTGCATGTTGGCAACAAGCAGCTGAGTTTAGATCACAGATCCATGTTATCTGTGAAGAGGACAGACTAACCTGAAAGAGCCAGAGAGGTTTCCAGAAACTGTGCTCTACAGCAGCCTAAATGGGGAAAAGAAAAGAGGTTCAGTGAAGCAGCAGGTAGAGGCAACAGGTTCACAGGGAGAAATTTCAAATCAGCAAAGAGCTTGTACAGCAACAGAAAGAACCAAGATCAGGTCAGCCTGGAAGCTGGAATGTCAGGACCCATCAAGTGGGTGCTTCTCTTTCTTTCTACCACTCAGTTTGTTCTGGGAATGCTGGTGAATGTCTTCATTGTGCTTGTCAATGGCAGCGGCTGGGTCAAGAGCAAGAAAATCTCTTTATCTGACTTCATCATCACTAACCTGGCTCTCTCCAGGATTGTTCAGCTGTGGATTCTCTTGTTTGATTGTGTAAAAGATATATTTTTTCGCAGTCTATTTAATAATGGGGCATTAATTCAAGTTATTGATATTTTCTGGACATTTACAAATCATCTGAGCATTTGGCTTGCCACCTGTCTTGGTGTCTTCTATTGCCTGAAAATCGCCAATTTCTCCCACCCCACATTCCTCTGGCTCAAGTGGAGAGTTGCCAGGGTCGTCGTATGGATGCTATTGGGTGGGCTGCTCTTCTCATGTAGTGATGCCATGTCTCTGATTCTACAGTTTAAGATGTATTATGTTCTCCAGAGAGCTGATGACTGGGGGAATGTGACTGAGCACTTTAGAGAGCTAAGGAATGAATATGAGGTGATCCATGTTCTTGGGACACTGTGGAACCTCCCTCCCCTAATTGTGTGTTCGGCCTCCTACATTCTGCTCATCCTCTCCCTGGGGAAGCACACGCGGCAGATGCAGCAGAGCAGAACCAGCGCCAGCGACCCAAGCTCCGAGGCTCACAAGAAGGCCATCAAAATGGTCCTCTCCTTCTTCTTTCTCCTCCTGTTTTACTTCCTTGCCTATTTACTCACATCATCCCATTATTTCCTACGAGGAACTGGAATGACTAAGCTGATTTCAGAAGTAAGTACCATGTTTTATCCTGCCTGCCACTCGTGGATTCTCATTCTGGGAAACAGTAAGCTGAAGCAGACGTTTGTGGAACTGCTCTGGTGTAAGTCTGGTCATCAGAAGCCTGGATCCAAGGAGCACTTTTCCCCATAAAATGACAGAAGGGATAGGAGAGAGCTGTAGGAGAGAGAGAGTAGTGCTAACCTGTTTTCATTAGGGCACTTCTCTTGCCTCTCTTTGCATGGTTGTTTTGGAGACTGCAAAACAGTCTTTGGAAAATGTCAATACATTTAGAGCACTGTTACTATGTAGAGATAGAGTTGTATTTTAATAACTATGTACTCAACATAGTGAGCTGATACCTAGCTTTAAGGTAAAGTTTATATTGACAAGGATAAACTTTTGTAAGTAAAACAATCTAGTGGACTTGAGGGGAAGAGCAAAACCATTGCAGTCCCACAGACTTTGGTTTGAATTCTGGTTTGTCCATTTTCCAAGACTTTTGTCCTTAAGTGAGCTACTTTAATCACCTGTCTAGTCCGCTCACCCCTCATTTTAAAATGTGGACTGTGAGATCACCTTAGAGATGCATGAGACCATGTGTGCCAGCATTTTAGCACAGTATGTTGTATAAAGTGCTCAATAGGCAAAGTTCTCATTGTAACTAACCGTGAACTATGCAGCAGTTGCCACAAGATGCCAATTTCCACAACTCCACTGTGTGATGGCCAATGCTGAGGAATGGCAATCAAGACCCTTGGATCCTATTTCCAATCCAGTCTTCCAGTGATGAAGTCATTTTCCTTTTATCACAATCATCCTTGCATTCCTTTGCCATTTTGCTAAAGTAAAATTTCAAGTCCTTTTATTTTTTAGATTGAGCAAAAGTCCAAGCATTTTTAAAATGACCCCAGATGGACATCAACTTTTAAATTTTCAGAGTTTTATTTTAAAATGATGTAAATAGTTTTTATAAGTTTAATTGAATTTATTTTACTACAATTACATAGGCATTGATTTACTTACCATTACTGAACAGTGGCTAGAAGTCAATGAGAATATTATTGCTTAAGATCACGAAGAATTATCAAACTTGTGAACATATCCAAGACATATGGCAGTCCTGAATCAGAATTTTATCACTGATGGGGCTCTCCCCAGTGAAGCTATCGGAATGTGGACCCTGAGAGCCTGGGTTCCAATCCTGACCCCCGGACCTTTGGAACTAGGTGACTTTGGGGAAGTTCCTTAACCTCTTTCTCTTTCCCTTTTCTTGTTTATAAAGTGGGAATGGTATTTTGTTGGTAGAATTGTTGGAAGGAATGGATGAATTAACAACATGAAAAATGCTTCGAGTCCCACATGGAGTAAAAATACTCAATACATATTGCTATTGTTATTGTTCTTATTTTGTTATATTTTGACATAGCATGAAGGATCACTACACTATTTCCATTTGGTCATATGTAACCAGAAATCAATTTTAGGATGGTTCTGGGATGTATATATTCATTTCTAAAATGACTGGAATAAAATGTCATTTGATCTGTTTGCTTTCAAATTAATGCTTGCCTCTTGAAACTGCTGGGGAACATTATAATTCGAACATAACTTAAAATTCTCTTTGAAAAAGGCATCTATTGAAACTTAAAAGAATGATTTAATATTCATTCCTCATTTACCAAAATGGATTCTGAAACAGGTCTTTCTGTAATTGGTAGAAATCTTTGCTTCTCTTCAGCACAGGGCAGTTTAGCAGAGGAGATCCATGCTGTCTGGATTGGCATCTGCTTGTTCACCCTGACCTACCCCCTGCTCTTGGTTTCATTCTTACCCACTATTGTTCACTGGTTGCTATTTTCTGTCACTTTGACATCTCTGCCTAGCTCTGACCTGATTCCCTGCCTTTCCCTTAATTCCTGATTCTACCTTCTGCCTCAGGCATGGGATTTTCCTCTCTTTTAATGGAACATGACATGGTCCTAGAGATTTTGGGTGCTGTTTGATTCTTGGTGCCTTTGGCTAGCTTCTGAAGCCTCCCTCCCTTCTATTTTCCTGTGGCTCCATTACGCCCTACCCTGACCTAACAGATTTAGATATGGTGCAGTGAACATGCTGAAGTTACCACTACTGTTCATTCCACCAGAGCCTTGAGTGTGGCTGGAAACCTGGAATTCCCTGGGTGAGAGTCTGCTGTGAGAGTCCAGTTGGCTGAGCTAGCTCCTCATTGAGTCCCAGGATATGGGAAAGAATTACCCAATTAATACCTCAGGCCCAGTTTTGAGAAACACTGGAAGGGGCCATCTTGTTTGTTTTGTTTTGCTCTCAGTGAATTAGCTTGAGTTGCCAAACTCCTTAAAACACTAGTTGTTTGCTGCACAAAGAACCAGAGCATGGCTTTCCTCCACTACAATGTGTCAGCAGCAGTTGTTGGAGTTTATAAGCCTAGTTTCCATCAGAACCTCTATTTTAAGTTGCATGAGATTACTTCTCATTTTTAGTACTCTCTGACCTCTCGGGCCAGATTCATAGATCTTGACAATTAGTGAGTTTGGGTCTAGGAGGATTGTCAATGAAAAAGATAACAACAAAAACACATTCTAGCGGAGACCGGTTTGGCTTAGTGGATAGAGCGTTGGCCTGCAGACTGAAAGGTCCCAGGTTCGATTCCTGACAAGGGCATGTACCTTGGTTGCGGGCACATCCCCAGTAGGGGGTGTGCAAGAGGCAGCTGATCGATGATTCTCTCATCGATGTTTCTAACTCTATCCCTCTCTCCTCCTCTCTGTAAAAAATAAATAAAATATGTTAAAAAAACACATTCCAAAATTTCTTAGTTTCAGAGCCTACCAGTGCTCTTTGCCTTATGCAATATCCCTTCTCTTTCCCAACCATTGATGAATAGGGGTAGTTAGAGCATCTTAAAGTTTTGTTCCTAATTTTCTTGAGTTTGGATAGGTAGAAAGTCAATATTATTTGATCCTATCCTGCGAGAAATTCTTTTTTAAGAGAGCAAAAGTGGCTTATAAACTCCAACAACTGCTGCTGACAATTATAAATTATTTTCTTGTATTTCTACATTTTGCTGGATTAGAAGTATGTATAACATAGTGGCTAAGAGAGTTAGTTCTGGAATCACACACATTTGAGTTCAAATCCTGACTCCCCACCACTAATTAGATGCATGTTCAATGTCAAGTTACCAACCTCCTTGGACTTCAGTTTCCTTTACTATCAAATAGGCTTACATTATAGGAATGGTGTGAGGATTAAATAAAACAATGTATGGAAAGTATTTTGCCAACTAAAGCATAGTAAATGCACTACAATATTATCAGTATTTTAATCAAGGTTTGAGTATGGAGTATGTAGCTCATGTTGTCCTACTCTTATGACAGTGAATCCATGAACTTTCTTGTTGCTGGTGGTATAAGAGAACATGGAAGGAGCAGGCCTCCCATTCCCAGGGGATGGTAGGAAAGAGAGAGGGAGAGAGAAAGGGGGTTTCAGTAGAACAGGTGAGATTCCTGATTCCCCCCCTCTGTGAGAACTTCCTGAAAGCTGTCTGTTGGCAGTTGGGAGGCAGGGCAAGCAGCAACCAAGGGACAAGGACCTCTTTCTGGAAGCCTGAGGAGACAAGGATACTAAGAGAAAGGTTGGGACACTTCTCTGTCACCAGGAGGCAGAATTAATCTCGCTCTTCTCCCCATATACCTGGATCCTAATTAAAGGAGAGAAGTGTGGCACAGGGAGGATGTCTCAGAGATTTCTGATCCCACTTTTAGGAATATATCCCAAGAAGCCTAAAACATGAATCAGAAAGAACATATGCACCACTATGTTCAGAGCAGCACTATTTACAATAGCTAAAATCTGGAAGTAGCTCAAGTGCCCATCGGTAAATGAGTGGATAAAAAGCTGTGGTTGCCTGAGTGACATGGCTCATTGGTTGAGTGTCAACCCATGAACCAGGAGGTCACAGTTTGATTCCCAGTCAGGGCATATATACATGTTGCAGGATTGATCTCTAGTATGGGGAGTGCAGGATGCAGTTGATCAATGGTTCTCTCTCATCATTGATATTTCTATCTCTCTCTTCCTATCCCTTCCTCAAGAAATCAATAAAATATATATTATAAAAGAAAAAAAAGCTGTGGTACATCTATATCATGGAATTCTATGCAGCAATAAAAAAGGATCTCTTACTGTTTGAGGCAGCATGGAGGGACCTGGAAAGTATTATGCTAAATGAAATAAACCAGTCTGAAAAAGACAAGTATCACATGATCTCACTTATATATGGATCTAATGAACAAAGAAACTGGTGAACAAAATAGATCCAGAGACATAGAAGCATGGAACAGATTGACAAATCTCAGAGGGAAGGCGGGGGTTGGTGGGAAAAGATAAACCAAAGAACTTGTATGCGTATGAAGGTCTGGGGCAGGGTAGGGGGCTGACTAGATGGGGTCAATGGGGAAAAGAGGGGGATATACGTAATGCTTTCAACAATAAAGATTTTAAAAGATCTGAAGAGACTGAACATTTTTTCTGCAGACATTTTTTCACATTACCCTATTGGGTTAAACACATCCCCCGGCCAGTAGGTGGGGGCTCAGGACATAAACCATATTACTTGTAGATAAAATTAAGAACCTTATGTTTTCTCTGTACATCTGAGTTTATATATTTTGTTTGACTCCACTATTATTACATTGTCATGGTGACTTGGTGGAACTGGCCAGGTGACCAGAACAATATTTCCAGGTTAATCCTGGAAAATATATTTTCAAAAGTTTATGAGTGGAGTTTCTTGGCCTTGATATCTGGTTGTTGCTTCCAGCCAGAGAGAAATATTTATGAAATGACAGCTGAAATTTGTTCTTATTGCTCAGCGAGCAGATCTCTCTAAGAAAGGGGTGGGTCTGGCCAGTTGCTGCTTGCTGCTGTAATATTCCAGGAGCAGATATATTTCTCATCCCATTTTGATTCTGTCCTATCTTGATTTCAGTTTACTTATTCATACCAGACATTTGTCTAACACTTTGCACCAAGCACTGTGCTAGATCAGTTGCTGTTCTCAAAAACATCCTAGCTGGTGGGCAATAAAGACATCTCTGCATCATTGAAACGGGTGCTTCAGCTCTGAGGAA